AAATCCCACCAACACGGGTATCACCCAACTGGTAAAAGAAAACAAGATTTGCAACCGCAAAACTGTGTTGAGCCCTGTATTTCCAGTATCGGACAATGTCACTTTGTATTAATTCAGTGCATGGCCATCAGTTAGGAAACGGTTACATTATCGGAGGTTCGTTTACTAAATGGAATTTCATCAGGTTGGAGGTGAATGATCAGTAGTCGACAGGGGAGTTCGGTGACCACTATTCCTGGTGAATAATACAAATTATCTAGGATAGTGTTAGTAATCTAAATAAGGAAAATGCTTTTGTGCGTTGCATTAGGAATACGACATTTCTTTAAGAAGGGCATCATTCAATACTGGGTTTGGTGTACACATAATCTGGAAGATAATGGGCTGGAAGGACCTAATTTGCTTCCAAACGTCCATATTCTGGCGAAAATTCGCGGGTTTTTTAATGGAATTGTGTTTAACGCGTTCACAGGCTAGGAGTTCCTAGGATTCAAACCAACCTGTTGAAATCGTCCAATCTAACTGTTTCCCAGTGTGTTGGCTAGCAACTCAGAGAGACCGCGTGCCAGATTGGCCGGAAACAAATACGGCTAAAGTTGTCATGGTTATAGGACACACCACGGAGCATATATAAGAGTTTTATCTTTCAGACTAACTTGAGGATTATGGGTAAAGTCCTTGCGCTAGTTTATAAAGGTATTCGTTGAGTAAGCAGTGTTAAGGCAGTCTCTTAGATTTATGATGTTTTTATTTTTTGCTACAAGTTCATTATACGGTTTCACTCTGCTCTGCGTGTGGTGGGCGGCGATCAGAACGAGGAGCCTGGTTTGTTTAAAATATATCAGAAACCAATGGACTGATACCGAGCGTATTCCTTTCAACTCAGAACGCTTCTATCTTAAAGTGGTATCACTTAATAATAAGAGTAAATCTTGCGGATTAAACGAAAATCTTAACTCCCGTTGTCAGAGAGAAAGGGCGGTTTTCAACACATGTCTGGACCGATTCTCTCCCCATAAGCACATATAAGTTGTATTAGCTTCGTTCGTATTTGGTCTGTCAACTGCGGAAATCTTTGGCCCCCTATTTTGATGAACTCATTGTCCAACATGATTTTACAGCATAGATGACTCGTAAATATGAAACAAGAAGAGGGATTTGTATGGGTCATCTACTATGCACGCCCAATTTACAACTGTTTGTATAAATCCATTTACTCGAACGTTGGGAGCTGTGCTTATCTGATGAGCCTAAAATAGAGCAAATTATTGAAAAAGTAAACAATGCTTCACCAATAATAGAATTTTATTGCTGATGCAAACCAGTGAATTATAGGGCATGAGCAGAAGTGGCATCGGCAGCAACGATTCCTTTGGTGGTTTCAGACCTGAAAAGAAAGTATATCACAGATGTGCGCTGTCATCAGAGGGGATCCATCAAATAGATTTCAGTTGGAACATTTATTAGCTGGTCAAAAAGTGAGTAATTTTTGAGTTCTTGAAAAACTGGACAAGGTACTCAGGTTTTTTCAAACACACTCTATATTCGTTGCCTGATATGTTATACAGTTTCGAAAATATAAACAACCAATGCCTTGAGTTGTACGAATAATACATTTTTCCAAGAAATACCCTTCAGCGATGATGACAGAAGTCCAGCTATTGATTTGTTCGTCTTGAGTACAAGACTAACAATCTTGTGTGCCTCGAAATATGATGATTTCCTGAACTAACTTTGAGCTATGTAAACATAAAAAATTAGGAAACTAAATTTTCCAGTGGCCTGTTTTGGCAAGGTTGCTTCACCACTTAATGTAAGCCCAGAAATACTTCAACGTAATAAAGAGTAGAAAATGTGCGTGCTTCAGATGAGTCCGTAATGAAGATGAAGTAACATGTGGCTGAAATAAGTCCGGTGAACGTTGAAATAAGCAGTGTTCTCATTATACACTGCCCAGCAGTGGAAACGCGATGAATTACTACTCGGGAATCATCCGGGTGTAAAATGGACAGGATCGTGATTCCGAAAACGAAAATATTCGGAAGCATTCCGCATTGTCAGGGTGCGATCAGTCGATTACTTGCTGTGCCAAACAGTGTGAATCACCGGTCAAAAGGATTTGCTTTTGAGCATCGATAGGTCGTTGTGACTGAGCCCCACGACAAATAGCAGATTAATTGTGATTGCTACTTGCATACGGTGCAACCAAAACCATTGCGTAGCCTTGGGTCTGCGGCTGACACAATACTATATAGTTTTAGAAAAATACCGAAAATTAACGGCGACTGCGGAACTGAAAGCTACTAAAGGATACAAAACGATTTTACCTTGTGGTATGGTAAAACGTGTTGATCACTTTGAAAGCTTTTAGCCCTGGGAATCGGCCAACAAAATCTGGTATGGCTCAGGACTGGTACAAACAAGACTTTCGAAACGGTGTATCAAACACTCCGAGTAGCCCATCCGTATTCCAGCCACTTGACCGCTGCATTAATTTACTCGAGCTACTGTTCTTACAGAACAGTGTATCACTGCGTTCCTTCCACAAGAAAAGTCTCGGGTTCCTCAAATCGAATGGCTTCACTCTGGAATTCGCAAAAGGCGCCTGTTGCAATTGGCTGATGGTCAGGTAATCTTCATATAAATAGAATCGAAACGAATGTTGCCGTGTGACATCAAAATGCTTCCTTTGTTGAGCCCGCAGTTCCTTCTCTTTATTGGTTTTCTCGTTGCAGGTGAGTTGCGAACTTGATGGTTTGGGAAAATAATTTTTTTATACAGTGCTAGTATTCGTTTACCTCGATCAGGATGAGTGTCCAGTCTGCTTAAAATAAGTGTTGTGACCAAGTCCGCATGGTCACATGCCTATAAGGTTCAAATATATTGCATGCGGTTCAGGCGAGAAAAAATTTGTTGCAAGGCAAAAATAGTCTGCGGAACTATCCGAACTTGAAGATGATGAAACTATATTCCGAAAGCCTGGTAGCCAAACGCGTCAAATTTTTGTTATGAAAGCACAGTAATAAGGCATATAGGATTTCTGAATTATAGCAGAAATGAACACATGTTTTCTTTCCCCTTTGCGTGAACAATAATAGTAAAAATAATAATAATAATAACTTGAACATTTTGTGTTGACTTGTCCTGAGCAACCTCATGCTTAACCCAACCTCCGAGTGTAAGAAAATATTGCAAAATTTAACAGACACACCTTTAGAAGTCTATACACTGGTTATGCCACACCAGGAAATTCAGGATAGGGTCAGGTGAAATTCCGTAGATTCAAATGTTCTTCCCAATGTCCAAACAGATTTATTCAGGCTAGCTTGCATCAAAGTGTAGAAGCACTGAGCTTCAGATTTGCTCCGGTTCGAGCTGACTGTTAACTGTGATGGGATGTGAACGCCAAGCATGCGACGTGCATGCCGATTATCTTAAATGCAGGCCACCAGCTTACTCTATGCACACCCTGAATGGTCACCTATGTACATTCCTCAACGGTGTGACTGGGTTGCTCAACATAAAACGGTCCATCGGTCCATATTTCAGGAATTCCGAGCCAAGTAGTAAGGGGTTAGGGGAAATGGTTTTTTCAAACAAGAGTAATGAACACAAATTTTGAAAGTCTAGTAACCATTTACAACAAAACGTTGTTCGCAGTTATGTAATTACACAGTCAAACCACTCTGCTCGCAGTTTGGACAATAAAATATAACCGCGATCCCTTGTTGCAATATTTTTCTTGTCGTACGTTGATGATTCGGGCATTACGCAATGACTGCCAACGTGCGCAATAGTCACCAATAGTCGCTGATGAGAAGTTTATAGGGCTGCATCACAACCAAAATTTCTTGTGTAGGGTTGTTATTTGTTTTCCAGGCACAGGGTACTTATAAAAAAGAATACCTTGAAGAGTTGTCTTACGATTTGAAATCGTTATCCTTGAAACGTAATGGGTAGAAATCGCCCCAGTACAGGTGAAAACGTAGAAGTTAGTATATAAAAAAGGGTTAAAAAAGTTACGCATTATGCTGCAACATCCATTTGGTGCCTAGCAGATATGACACCTGAAGGAAGCACGATGGCTGGGATAGGGCCAGACTGCCTAAGATTAGACAAGAAAAGTCGAAATTCAACGGTCGGTTACGAACCCCGGGCCTTTCGGTCAGAAAATTCGCAATCTAAGGTCTGAGCCAATTCGTTCCTCAGATTAATACATAACCGTTCAGCTGTGACACCTTTCCGGTGCCTAGCTGCCATGCTACCGAAGGAAGCAGGAGGGCTGGGATACTGCTAGGTTACCCGAGCCCATACAGGGGAAGTCGAGAGGCAGAGGTCGGGTTTGAACCACAGGCCTTCCGGTCAGTAAATCTGCGCTGTAGCCACTTGAGCCATCTCGCCCCAGGTTAATACATATTACAGACAAATATAAGACGACAAAAAACAAGCAAAGACCTCTTAAACTTTTCAAAACATTTGATATTTTTCTATTTTGATTTGTAAAAGATGCAAATCGCTTTCACCAGAACTCTGACTAAGGCCTTTCTTCAAAACCTTTGATCATATAAATGGAAGTAAAGTGGTACCTTAATGAGTAATAAGTGCAGGGAATTTAAGACGGACGAATTGTTCACGCAAATTTAGGGGAGTTTACGGCCACGTTGTAGGAATAAAGAGCACCAGAAATGGTCGGTTTAACAAGGCAGTTGATATAGAGCTCAGGAATGTGTATGTCTGGTCGCTGGAATGTTTGGCTCTCCCTGTTTCAGTTGATATGCTATCGACCCACAACTAACTGAGGAAAAATGGAAAATGTTGCGATATCCTCAATACGTTTACGGAGTCTAGCTCATTTAGGTCAATAAGTTTTGGCTCTTCCCACGAGTTGTCCCATGGTTTAGAATGTTTTATCTGAGTAAATTTATATTTTTGCTCTTACGAGTTTCGAGTGTTCAGTAAATCCACTTTACTGCACAAAGTCATCCTTGGTTCAGTTTCAGAGGGCCTTGTTCCACTGTCAACGGATGACCAGCCAACTGGATGTGTCTTTGTCTTTCAGAACAGAACAGGCCAAATAGCATCACCCGATCATCCATTATGGTATTCAAACGATGCGAACTGCTCGTGGACCATTGCGCTTAACGAAGGATGTGTGATTCAACTAAAATTTGACAGTTTCGCAGTAAGTGTCACTAATATCCGCAAGAATGTGATACTGGATTCGAAGCTACCGTGTTTAATATGAGCCTGCTGCATTTCAGTCAACCTATCATACGCACATGAATAAAAGTCTTAAACGTAGCAACCTGGACAGTATGCAAGTCGATTTTTACTTAGTAATTTAATTGAGTGTGATACTTGAGGAAGTGACTTGTTTTGTAATAGAAGATTTGGCGTTTCACATTTTTTGACATAATTTTTCCGAGTGCGCGTAAACTGCCCTTCCAATAGCAAGCCTGGTTTAAGATGTTCCAATTATTGTTATTTGGAAGGAGGCAAATGACCAGCAAAATGGTGCGGCTGAAGGGGGATCAACAACTTTTAAAAAATTAATGAGGAACTCTTGTTGTTTGAGCCAAAAGGTCGACATTTATAGAGTATCCACTGCCCAGAAGACCAGCAGGAACATTTACAGGCACTGGAGTTCACATGACTGGCTGCATAAATATTTATGTCGAATACACTGAAAACAATCGCAATTGATTCTGGCAAATCTGATATATATTATTACTAGTGTAGCGACGGACGCTACTGATGGAGTATGCGAGTAGTATGTGGTTTTCTCAAAACTCTGACTTGTGTCTAATGGAAGACGCACTCCCATGGGGTTCATTACGGAGCCTGCGAGTATACTTTACTGCGTTCGTTTACACTTGTGTGATAGCCAATGAATATCCAGGGAAGTTGAAGTATTGTGAAGATGTTTTAAAAAATAAGGTGAACAGTAATTTGTACACGTTTGGCTCGTGTTTAACCGTAGACGACTCCGCGGCGGAGGGACTGAAAAGTTTCGTAAGACCAGTGAAAAACTCACTATTGTTTTTTTGACCCAAAAAGTCGACGTTTTGAGATTATCTACTGCCCAGAAGACCGCTATCTACGTTTACAGGCACTAAAGTTCACAGGACTGGCTGTTTCAATATTTATGTTGATAAATTCAAAAAGGGATCGCAATTCATTTCGGAAAATCCGATATACCTACTCAGTGGTGGTTACTTGTTATGTCACATGGCGTTTAAGAAACCTATAACCGGCGACCAGAAAGGAACTTTACTCTGGCAGAAGATCATCGCAGTCAATCGAAGTAACAACGACCCTTGAACCTTCCCAATCACACTTCAATGTTGTCTGTGGAATATTGGAGGAGAATCCAGAATGCATTCTGATCAAAGACAATGAAATGCATCCACTCAACTCTGCACTGACGATGTCACCTCGATTGGTGATGAAACGTTTGCAATCCAACTGCCAAGCTCGGCGAACAGACCAACAACCAAATTCTGTATATTTAGTGGTGGACAGACTGCAGGACAAGGGACCCACACCGGGTGTTTTAAACTGAAGGTGCAACAATCTTCCAGGAGGACTTATCAGGTAAGGTCAGTAACCTTTTTTTTAATGCGGTAGGCATCTTCTTGGAGGGAGTACGCCATTGTTCGAGGACAAAAAATATTGGTTCCAAACTCTGCAGGAAACAGTGAGCTCTTTCGAAGTTGACTGTGCCGTAGATAATGTTGAAATGTCACAGCATAATATATGTTTAAACTTTATTTCTCTGATTTCATTAGCAAAGTATTCCGTTTGTGAAAGGCCGAAATAGATTTGGACTGGAAATAAAGGGTATTTATGAAAATAAGCAGGAAAGTGCCCTTTGAGAACGCTTTGATTTTCACCAGTTTAGTACATAACTTTCTGGTTTTATTTTCCTTGCCAACGCTGTTTGTGTTGAGATGATATTTGCCTCGGTCCTCTGCGTTCTGTTTGCAATGCTACACTGACATTAAAATTTTTTCTTTTTGCCCGATTACAGAATTTTTAAACCCGCAGATATTCGATGATAAATCCTGTCCGTAAGCTAGATATGAGTGAAAATATCTCTGAGCGCTTTTCAAGTTTAGGTAGACTACCAATGCCAGAAGCACCAGAGCGTGGGCTGGTTACTAAGAAGAGAGTAATACAGGTTTGCAACAAATCTTCTGCGATCATCCAACGGCAGCCTTCTTATAGTAACTGATGTAGACTTAGGCATCGATATAAATTTAAAACTTGTGATTTCTATTTAGCTTTTGAAGTTTATCAAATAAGCCCCGATATAACATACAAACTGGTGCGTCGAACACAGATTGTGGGTGATCATTCGGCTAATGCTAGAAATTCCGTTCTGTATGTTGCTGAAGAGAAATTAAATACATGTATATTGTATACCCTGTTTGCCATTACAGCTAGAAGAAGAATACGATTGGCTGAGGGTATACGACGGGATAGATAATTCAGCAGTGTTGCTTGGGGAGTGGAGTGGTACTGAATTACCTCCGATACTTTCTTCGACAAGCAACTACTTGCACATCAATATGACTAGCGATTCGTTTGTTCGAAGTCCTGGATTTTCGGCAAACTTCACATCTGGTAAGTTGATATGACAATGTTTAGAAGTATCTATCCCAAAAATTATTGAGAGAAGTTTCTTCTTCAGCGCTGGTTTAGGCGCAGCAAAACACACAGGCATATAGTGAAGCTGTTTCTAATTCCCTTAGTACTGTGATGGGCAAACTCTACCAAGATCCGTAATGTTTTTCCCTAAACATTTGTTCCGGCGGTTCGTCGATTCATCAACACTTTGTTAAAGCTCTCTGATAGTATGTGTTAAACACCAGTTTTTGCAGTAAAACTTTTTCTTCACTGAGTACGTTCTTCTACACAAATCATTACAGCTCTGTATCACTTTAAATGCAGTGTAGAAGAAATGTGTTACCGTTTTCGCGTAACCGGATTGATCTAATCTGCACTAAGCATTTAACAAGGTATATAAACACTGAAAACCCTGAATAGTGTGAGCTTTGGGAAAAAAACATAGTGTTACACTCGCATGCGGAACGGCCCCGTCTCTGTGGCAAACATGGTTCTAACTCAGAGAGATGCGAGACACTTATCTATCTCCTTAGATCTCCAGGTTGGCTACGACGTCACGTGAGTTAGGCAGCCAGGCAAAATGATAGTGAATCACCAATGGGAGGAAGCGAGGTGTATGGTGGTATGGACTTAACGCTGTGTGTGTTACATCTGTGGGTTGAGTGCTCGGTTACGTTTTGTAATTAAGAACTCAGGGTCTGAGGACTACAGAGCAAAAGCAGCTATAATAATTTGTTTTTTTTTTTCGAAACAACTGAGCTTGAAAGCTTGTGCATGATTAATTGTGGCTAAATATGGAAACAAATTGCGATCTTTAGACAAGGTTAGATTGCACACCTTGAATAAACCTGCGAGTTCATCAAGGCTTTCCGAATTTTCTCCTCTATTTTTCCCTATTCCCTGTGGGAGATTACAAAGTGTTCTACGCTACCTCAGTTGTGTTGAGAAGTTGTTCCGAATTATGTGCTCCTTACGCTGACAGTTTATCACAACAGTTTAGAATTTGCAAAGTGCTATCCCGAACTCAGTATATTAGTTTGCTGTGCGCGGCTGTAGTCGCTCTCCGAAATACTAGCACGTTTGGTGTTTCATTAGGTCAGATGAAGTTAAAATAAATAAATAAATAAATAAATAAATAAATAAATAAATAAATAAATAAATAAATAAATAAATAAATAAATAAATAAATAAATAAATAAATAAATAAATAAATAAATAAATAAATAAATAAATAAATAAATAAATAAATAAATAAATAAATAAATAAATAAATAAATAAATAAATAAATAAATAAATAAATAAATAAATAAATAAATAAATAAATAAATAAATAAATAAATAAATAAATAAATAAATAAATAAATAAATAAATAAATAAATAAATAAATAAATAAATAAATAAATAAATAAATAAATAAATAAATAAATAAATAAATAAATAAATAAATAAATAAATAAATAAATAAATAAATAAATAAATAAATAAATAAATAAATAAATAAATAAATAAATAAATAAATAAATAAATAAATAAATAAATAAATAAATAAATAAATAAATAAATAAATAAATAAATAAATAAATAAATAAATAAATAAATAAATAAATAAATAGAACAACTAGTGTTGGAAACACCATGAACCAGCAAACATCTATGAGTTGACGAAATGGGCAGTTCTCCGTGTTTCGAATTTGTATTTCTCATTTACACAACAATTTGGTTTTGATGAGAAGGTCAACGGAATCCAAGCTGAATTTCAAGTTAAAACCAAATAGGTGCAGCAAATTTGCAAAATTTGCCGCAAAAATGGGTTCAAGCGGAATATAAGGTTGACGGAAACTCGGGGACCGTGACTACCTGGTTAGATCCAAGAAGCACAAACCGGGGTGTGTTCTGTTGTACAGTTCCAGCAGGCTTGTGTGTAATGTTCCTTCAAGTTTGATGTTTCCTTTAGTTTAGAACCTTGAAGTCGATCGGGTATACATTCTTAAACAATATGTTTAAAACTTTGGTCTTAAGGTCAGCTTGACATTTCGTTGCATACTAAAGGTTTTCTGCCCTGACTACTCCCAGTATGTGGGAATTCTGGTGCAGCTTTTAATTTCTACGTGTGAGATTTCCATATGTGTCATCAGTACATACATTCGCGAAGGGTAAGACTTTATGCAAGCAGTCATTTTTACTGGAAATCCAAGTTAATCCAAGTAGTTCTGTCTATCTCTTTGTACTTTCAAATAGCAACTCCACTTAGTTTTCTATCCAGAATGTTATTTGGTTTATCTTATCGGTGACTCACTTTTGCGGCGTGAATTCAAACAAAGTGATTGTAGGAGTGAAATAATGCAGTCAAAAGGCAAAAACTCATACAACTAGTGTTGGAAACACCATGAACCAGCAAACATCTATGAGTTGACGAAATGGGCAGTTCTCCGTGTTTCGAATTTGTATTTCTCATTTACACAACAATTTGGTTTTGATGAGAAGGTCAACGGAATCCAAGCTGAATTTCAAGTTAAAACCAAATAGGTGCAGCAAATTTGCAAAATTTGCCGCAAAAATGGGTTCAAGCGGAATATAAGGTTGACGGAAACTCGGGGACCGTGACTACCTGGTTAGATCCAAGAAGCACAAACCGGGGTGTGTTCTGTTGTACAGTTCCAGCAGGCTTGTGTGTAATGTTCCTTCAAGTTTGATGTTTCCTTTAGTTTAGAACCTTGAAGTCGATCGGGTATACATTCTTAAACAATATGTTTAAAACTTTGGTCTTAAGGTCAGCTTGACATTTCGTTGCATACTAAAGGTTTTCTGCCCTGACTACTCCCAGTATGTGGGAATTCTGGTGCAGCTTTTAATTTCTACGTGTGAGATTTCCATATGTGTCATCAGTACATACATTCGCGAAGGGTAAGACTTTATGCAAGCAGTCATTTTTACTGGAAATCCAAGTTAATCCAAGTAGTTCTGTCTATCTCTTTGTACTTTCAAATAGCAACTCCACTTAGTTTTCTATCCAGAATGTTATTTGGTTTATCTTATCGGTGACTCACTTTTGCGGCGTGAATTCAAACAAAGTGATTGTAGGAGTGAAATAATGCAGTCAAAAGGCAAAAACTCATATCTCTTTTAACTACCTACTGGTATCAACTGCGTAATATATGCATACAGTAAAGCGCAGAATGCCGCTGGAAGGAGACAGAAGGACATAGTACACTACCTGTCAGAGGTTTGCATGAAATTTGCGATGTGAGAGTGTCAAAGGTGGCCAGCTTTTGCTACTGACTTGTGCTCGAGAGTGTTTGGAAGTAGTAAGATTTGCGCAGTTTGATAGGCACAAGTTTACCAAACTTTAGCTGATTAGTCGGGATTCGATGTTACCTGCAAGGATTCACTGCGAATGGGAGTATGGTTAACAGAGATCAGCTAAACCAGATTCGGGTGTTTTCAGTCTAGGGCAAATCAGAGTGGTTGGTGAATAAAGTCACTAGTAAGACAACTGTTAGGCTTCTTGTCAAGGCCTTTAAACTGGTCATTGAATAGTCACTAGTTCCAATGAGATATATTCGTTAACGTTGTCACTGCGACTTCATTGAGTATTTACTGCTCTTCAGAGGTTAGTAGGTATGTTGTGCTTGATATGTTTTATATGAATTTCTGTCCGCATCTTGGCTGGCGGCTAACAGGCTCCCATAAGTAAGTTACCCAGGCGTTTGGTGCTTCTGTTGCTTCAACATTCTAACTGGTTGAATGAGATATTGTTATGAGCGACGTGATTAGTTATTGGCAACAAATTTAGAAAGATTTCAAACCTTCCCAAGCAGGGGACAGCCGAATGCAGATAAAGCACCTGGGAAGGTATACTAGTGTCAGTTTATCAAGAAACAAAATCCGAAATTCACACGGTAATTATGATTTCCCGTAATGTTTGCCAGAATGTCCAGCAATCGGTAAGTCTTGAATACGCATCCACGCGACGGTATTTATGAAGCTCTTACCCGTACTTTGAATCTGCCATGCTTTACAAGTGAACATATCACCAACCGTCAGAGTACCAGTTTCTGTTATTAGCAAGATCCATTCCTAAAATTATACCCACTAACAGAAACAGGATCCGGGTTTCACCGATTTGAGGTCGGGTCACCGTAATAATCTCTCTACAGGTTGTTGCAGTGTTATTTGAGTCACTCAACTTCCTACTGTGATGCGTAGAGCACTTCTTAAAAATTAGGGAAAAACAAACACGGGACAATGTATTTTTATGAATTGCTTTGCCTGAAGCATCAACAGTAATTGGGTGATGAAACTTTTTAGATGTCGACACTTGTTTGTCTATAGTGAAATGCACAGAAGTCTGCAGAACGAACTTATCAACTGACAGCCTTTGAAATTCACACAACAGAGAGTTTTTGTTTTCACGATACATGATTGAGGAAGGTTTCAAATAGCCGAAGCTACTGTTTTGAACGTCATTGGCTGTAAATTCTCAGGCGATGTTTTCACCTTTGTTGATAGAGCTAGCAAGTTGACCATACGCAGCATTAAATTCTAATGAGAGCAATTAGCCATGGCAGATGAAGTGGAACTGGTGTGGCGCTTTGTGATAAAAACTAAAATTCACCATTCACATATAAGATCGTTGAAAGGGCTAACAGGATTTCTAATGGAGATAGAAACGTTAAAACGACTGTAGCTTTTTTGTATATGCGTGGGCGTGATGTGGTTTATCGCGCTGTCTGTTTATTAGCTCTGTTTTGGCTCATCCTGAATCCTTTTCTTTTGGAACCACAATGTAGTCCAGTTGAATCACTCCAAGGGTGGGACTCTTCTTGTTGGACGAGCATGACAAATGGAGCTAGATCAGAACAAGTTCTGACGGATGGTGTACATGAGCACAGAGTTATTTATGAACCGGACCATTCATCTCAGTCTGATACCCAAACACCTCTATGGTTGGTTGCTCCCATAACCTAATTTATGAACTAAAGTTAAGGATATTGC